TGCATGTCTTCACTTGTCAAAAAAAGTACGTTATGCTAGTTATACTCCATCCCCTTTTCTCCCAATATATTGAAGTTGTACTACAGATCTCTAGCTACAATAAGCAATTCTCCAAGGATGAAGAAAGAAAATGTACATACACATAGGAATTTCTTTTCCAGAGCTAAAATTGACATTTTATAAATAATTTCCATGTTGCAAAGTTGAGACTAAGAAATCACAGCAATTCAGTGATATGCATTTGGCATGAGTCAGTTTTAGTTCTTAGTGCTTTTCATTGGAAATGGCATAAAAAGTAAGATTTCTTTGAATTTTTTATGCCGTGGGCTTACAAGAGACATAAGATGTTTTTCTCTTATAGATGCCTGGCAGTGCACGGCAGCAGAAGTAACGAACTGGTCACAAACCCCAGCAGTACTTCCCAGGTCACATGCACCCTTAATTTTTAAAGAATCTAGAAACAACCTAAGCAGTTGATAACAGGTCATTTCTGGGTGATAAAGGGTATTTGATTTCCACACCTAGCATTTTTATAGTCATTTAGAGACTTATTTATGCTGGTGGGTTTATATGTGTTTAAATATGTAACCTAACTGGTCACTGAATTGTAACTCTTTTCTTTTCTTGATGTTTGACATTGATTTTGAGGTCTGAATTTTTTTTTTCAAGCTTTTTTTCTTCCAGCTCATTTTATATATAAACACTTCCCATAGTCATTGACTTCAATATAAGGGCAGCTGGGAATGCCAAAGGCAGCTACTGTTAAACAAAAAAGGAGAGGGGGGTGGGGAGGGAGATAAATTATGAAGTACAGTATCTACTGCCAGAAGTGCTTGGGTATTTTTCTTTCAAACACCTTTGAATTAAATTAATTTTACAAGCTTTACTTAAAAATTAGTCTCCTTTGAATGTAAAAATTGGGAACCATACATTGGTGCTTTAGAAATTTAGTCTAGTCTTTCAGTGACCTAGCAGTTGATATGAAAACATGAATTTAAAAATAAATAGCATATTGGATAAACTGTACCATACTCATGAAAGAAGCCAAAAAATTATGGATTAAACTGAATTTGAAAATAATTACAGTTTTGTGTCCTAAACCAGATTCGTTGTTAAAATGAAATGATAGGTCTTTGACCCTTGGGTGTGCTTGGAATAAATGTGGAACACAGTATTGTTTTTAAAACTATTTTGCTTTTATAAGCTAAGACAGATGTACAAAAAAGATGCAGTTTTTATTTTGTATTGGCAGCTTCCAAATATTTAGTATCTATTTCCAAGAATTGCAATTAGTAAAGCAACCATGGTACTGAAATCTGCACATCCCACAAGCTAATTATATTTGCAAGGTCAGAGTGAATACATATTTTCAGAAAAATAAAGGGTTATATAAATATGTGTCTTCTACTTGGCTGTTGTATCACAGTTTGTTGATCTGGGGTATAATGTGTACAATTCACAAATTTGTCTGATAACAGAAAGTGGTGTGTGATTGTGTTTATTTTACTAACCAGTATATTCACAGCAATCACTTCCAAATATCTCTCCAGTAAAGATGTGTTAATTACAAAACAGACAAGGTCTTCTATTATATTAAAGCTACTAACAAGAAGACAGCAGGAATCACACATGTAAATAGCATCATCAACCCCTATTTTAGTCCTCTGTTTTGATCTGTGAGTTGCGCATAGACCAAAGGTGCTATTAAAGACTGAGTGTATGAAATAGGCAGCATTATATGAACAAAATTTATTCAACAAGAAAACAGACCTTTAACATGAATTTAACAAGCCTGAGAAATTATAAACTATCATATGCTGCAGATTCATGCAGTGATAATAAACAAAAAAGGAAAGTAAGAGGTTTCCCTAAGCTAGCCAAACTGCTAATGGTTTTGTTATAAGCTGTCTACTGTTGCAGTGACCTCTGAAAAGTCTCAAGGCACTTGTACCAGAAAAAATTAAATGGTCAGGCCGGTGAATGGAGATTCAATGTGGTGCGTAGGACTGCAGCATGGAAAGGAATTATAAAAGTCTAGCTTCATATTCCTGAAAATGTTTGTCATACTTTAGCTTGGAAGTTTTTGTTAGTACATATTAAGGGGTAGTTTTTGTGCAAAGTTTTTTGGCTAAATTACTTTTTGGATTTATAACCTTATAAGACATAAGCTGAACTGGTTTAATGTATATATACTTTAAAACAAACCATTTAGAAAATTCATATAGCCCCCAAAAATGAATTTTTCCCCTGCCCCCCTCCCATAACTTAATTAATCCTTGGGGGTTCTTTGTTCAGTCTATTGTACCTAAGATTTCTCTTCTCATCCATGGAGTGACCACTTTGCTGTCATTCTGTTGCATCGTGCTGTAAATACATAAACATGGAGAAACGCCATCAGCCTATACACACCTCCAAGTGCTCACCAAGGCTTTTTCTTGAATCTTACTATGGCATAATTAACACCTTCTTCACCCATTGCTCATTAGTGCACTGGACATTAAGGAGTCTATTTTGATAGGTTGCTCTAAAGGAGAAACCCACTTATTCTCACAGCACAAAAAGCAATTATAAAATTGTATAGAAATTAAAATGTAGACTATATTGCCATATTTATATTTTTATTGTGTACTAAATCTAATTTTGGTCTGCAGGTTGTTGAACATGTTAGTTTCCTTAAGACAGTTGCTATAGTGATGGCAGCAAATTCCTTTAATCTTGGTGTAAAGTGTTCATTTTCTATTGGCTTTCATATTGCTACTCAGAAATCGTCATTCTAAACATTTCATTTCATTTAGGCCATCATTTACTAGTTGAACAGTATATTAAATCCTTGAATTTTTCTCTTAATTTTAAATAGAATTAAAATTTCTAAATTTCAGACTGTTTTTAATTGATCATGATATCTCTTTAGCTGGTATTTTTATTTCCCTTTTATGAAGTTTCACACCTGTTTATAATATTCCAGAGAAATATTACAGAGATTTTTTTCTTGTGTAAAATAGCTGGTCTCCTGTTCTAGTTTGGAAGCATTCAGTATAAAAAAGATATTTTGTGATATATTGTGGAATTTTCATAGTTTTTAGAAGTGTTCTTTTTCTACAAATGATACAGAAATCTTTAAATGGAATCCAAGTATTCTAAAAACAACTGGACCAAAATGATGCTTTGCTCTTAAATATTTACTGCTATTGGTTAGGGAAGCAATTCTTAATTTTGTATTTATTTAAGTTGTACATCTGTCTATCAAAATGGTCTCTTTTCCCTTCTTTAGCCTACATTTTATCTTATTTTTATGTGCTTTTTAGTAGAAAATTTTACTTCTATATGTTTTTAAACAGTTGTTTGAAATTATTTATGATAATATCTGATTAAAGCATGTTTGATAGTAGTACTTATTACTTTATGAAAATGATTAGAAAAAAGTTTAAGTATAAGCAAGAGGTATAAACCTAGGCCATATTTATTTATACATAATTGTGAAAGTTAAGTCTGGATTATAGTTACTGTATAAAAAGAAAAAAGTTTTCACAAACTATTAAATCATGCATGTTCTGGGGATACTTGGTTTTATTTTAAGGCAAGAGGAATCTTTGGGGAAATTCAAACTGTTAGAAATAAAAGCAAAATTCAAAGTTTCGGGGCGGCGGGGGGGGGAATTGCCGGAGTAGATGGAGGCCTTAGATTGAGTCACTTGTCATAGTGCTTTGGTGTAAGTTTGTATTCATTAGTACCGTTGACCCTTCACGGCAGCTTTTTAGAAAGGGTGATTTTTCCTTTCTTTCTTTCTTTAAATCTTATTCTTTAGCATATAGCATTTAGTAATACTTACTACAGATTTTTCAGACTTGATTAGATTCCAGTTGGTTTATTTTGGAAATAAATTTTTTTTAATCCCTTAGTATCCTCAAACTATAATTATACAAATGAGAAACAGTCTAGTAGACAATAGATTTTAAAACATTGATAAATCTCAGTTGTTTCGCACTTTTAAAGGCAAATCTAGAAATAACTGTATTACCCTGCTTTAAGATATTTTTATGTGAAGAATGTATTGAGTTTATTCTCTAGGTAATTGATTTACATTCCCTGGAAGAGGCATCTGTCTTAAGATCCCCAGTTCTTTACATAAAACTTAACAACATTAAAAAGCTTTAACAAGTTCTTTCAAATCCATGATAATGAACAGAGAAAAGCATTCGGATAGTATGTGGTTCTTGTTCAATCTCTTAATATATGAGCTAAAAGATGATTTGTATCATGTAAGAATTTGAAGTGTTTCTCTACAGAAATATTGAGTACACCTAGGAAAAAGAGGATACCTATTGTTATTTCTTTACTATGAACTTAGGGCTGTATCATTCTATACCACGTTCCTGGCTTAAAGCACGGATGACCTTGGTTTTCTTGTATTGTGCCTCGTATTCTTGACAGTGGCTTGGACATTTAAGGCCATCAGACAAGGTACAAAGTCTTTTATAGTCACAAGAAGTAAAAGGTATCTGACTAGAAGAGAATACGTGGAGCAAGTGCCTTGCTGGTTGTAATTTTGTTGTCATTTCAAGTACTGTGGTAGTATAATTGATGTGACAGGGCTGGGCTTTAGATGTGGTCCCTTAGCTTGTGCTCACTTTCAGTTTTAGTTTCTCTTTGTCATTCATTTTGATTAGGTAAAATTTAGGTGACAGACATATGCGCACCAATGAAGGCTGTTTGGTGTAAGTTTAGTAATGACGTATTTCAATAATAAAGATGCAAAGTTAATATTTTCCTTTACTGCTTCATGAAAATTGCAATAATTGGTGTCACCTTACATTACAAGATAGAGGGTGGTGTGCTGATGGTGCAGTCAGCAGGAGGTTCTTTTTTATTAATATTATAATTAAATGATTTTCTGGAAATAGGCCAGAAACAGATGCAAGTTGATCATGCCTTGTCCAGTGTTGCTTGGCACCATCACTTGCTTTTTAAAAAAGAGATGACCTGACACCTTGTTTTTACAGGTTGTTATTGATGCCTTCAGATTGATCAATGCTAATATGATGGTCTTAGGACATGAACCAAGACAAACAACCTCAAATCTGGGTCACCTAAACAAGCCATCTATCCAGGTAATACCTGTATTTGATAATGTGTTAAAACTGTTTTACATTTTAAAAGCCTGTTATAAATGACCATTTTAAGATCCAGTACTTAGCATTTTAATTTGTTTTGCAATTAATTTTTCTTGTGCTTTAAAAGGAGATTATGGAAATAGTGTTGCAAAAGTTAGATTTGCTCACATATAAGTCTGCTTTCAGTGAAGTCTTTAAACTTTCCTAACATAGTTTGAGGACACCCTTTTGGGGGGCATAGTAGAGCCTTAATCTTGAGAGTACCTTACAGCTTTGCACGGTTAACACTGTAGTAAAGGACTGATAGGGGTTTTAGGTGGAGTGCGTTAGGTATCATGGTATCATTATTGGTTTGGTTAGTAGACATTTCTTATAGTAGTAAATAATGGTAAATTATTGTATACTTTAAGAGGTCCCCAGAAGCAGTTCCTAAATAGTACTTAAATATTTTTACCTTTTTCTTTTTTCTTTTTTTGCCTTAATCCCTACTTTTAAAACAAATCATATAAAACACAACTACATATTTCTTTTGATTAGAGTTTATATCTTGTTCTTTCTAGTGATGTCAACCACCATTATTACAGTTATTCAGACACTTAATATCCTCCTGAGTGATTAATGTTTTCTTTGTATCATCCACATGCTTCATTGTTTTTACACAGATCTTTATTGTCTGCAAAAATTATTTTAAATGTGTTTTTAAATGCACCACAACCTGTGTCTATATAGTTAATTGCTTCTCTGAAGATTAATTAAAAGGACAGAAATACTGTGTTTGGTTAAATAGAACACATAGGACAGAGACATTATAGTAGCTATTGCTGCTCCCCTTCTGAAACCTTGCTCTGTCATATGATTGTCTCTGGGGAGTTGTGGTTTTGACAGTTAAACTAAGCTTGGTTATACTTTGATAACTTTATACTTTTAGATGCTTACTTTTTCAGCAGTCACTCATCTGAAATCTTCATCAAAGTGAAAAAGTTCTTTCAAAGGATTGAGGTGTGTTCCTTTTGAAAAAATTACTTAGAAGCCAGGGAAAACTGCAAAGTATAGTGAGTACGATGAAATAAGCTACTAGTGTTTTTGATTGGGTACAGACAAGCCCATACTTGCATGTTCCAAGAGAATATATTATTGGACCTGTTTAGCCTGTGATAATGACCTTTCTTATAACCCCCATAGCATCATACTGCTTCATTATTTTTTTGCAAATATTATTTTTTTTGTTAAGTAGCATCTCACAGTCTAAGATCATTGTGATTACTGCATGGTGTGTTTCTGCCAGAAGTTTTTACTAATTGCAAGTCAACAGCCACCTGTTGCAGATTTCATCTTTTAAATTTAAACACTGGTTTTTAACCTTAAAATTTGAGTTAATTAAATAATTAAAATCTGTTTCTTTCTACATCAGTCCAGTTTGTATTTTTACCTTATAGTCTGTAATTTAAGGTGAACCTTATGAAGCAGGTTCCAAACCAAAGTTAAAAGGACCTGTGTATATAACAGCTACAGCGTCATTGTTTTCCATTTCATTTTAGTTTGTTTTGGCTTCCAATTAAAATGTATATATATTTATTTCACAGTTTTTATAGCGTCCATCAGGAAAACATCTATCTGGGTGCTTTACAGTTTTGAGACAATTCCAATACTGAAACACTCAAATGGGATCAAGCCAAAAAGTAACGGAACAAAGGCACACCTTAAAACAATTTCTTAGTTTTCTAAGACAAGCTAGAAAGAAAGCATCCCAGAAGAACTTGAAGTGAATGGTGATATTCATAATAGAGTTTTAAGATGTGTTAGCAGAATCTTTACCTCAGGGATCAGAAGCCTTTCAGAAAGGCCGTGCCTTTTATTTTGAAGGAAAGTTAGTTTGTATTTAGAGGGATCTTATTCCTAAACCAGCTTATTACTGGTAGGAATAGGAACCTAACAGGTACCATCAGCACTCATGTGGGTGGTTACTAATGCTTTTCTAACACTGATTTTTTTTTACTATCATACTTAAAGTAGGGGGGGAAATATTAGGGTTATACTGTAGACTACTATTTAATATATTGAGGAAAGTTCAAAATATGTTAAGAAAAAGATTATAAAATCACATATGCAAGTTCTCCTTTTTGAAAATATATATTTTATAAACTGTGCCTATATATTTACAATATGATATTAGTATTGATTACCTTTAGGTTGTAGGGTTATTGAATTTTTTTTCTTGTTTTTCCTTCTCTATATTTCTTAAACTTTCTACAATGAAACATATATTGCTTTTAGAAAATGTTATTTTTAAAGCACTAATAGCAATGTTGAAGTATCTGCCACAAGACAAAGCTAATAGACAAAGTTTATGTGAACTTTCATGTTTTAAATGAGAGGTCATTAATAATCCTGATAGAGAGGGAAGAGTATAATGCCTGTACTGTAGACTTTTCTATTAATATATGTGACTTTGTATTATTTTGTTCTTGGAACATTTGACCATTATTGTCAAATGTATAGAATTGAGAGTTAGCAAGCATTTATTTTAGTAACTAAAAATGTAAAACTATTCCACTAAAAATTGTTCAACAACATTTCAGATGCTTAAGGGCCACAGTGTATATGAAGACAGGTTGTCAACTGAATGGAAATTTAGTAGCTGTTGATGCATAGATGCATTATACTAGGGTTATGAACCTCTAAGTGTAGCCCTGAGTACAACTGCATTGTCTAACACAGTTAAACTATTTGAAAAACATTGTTTTCGGTAGTTGTTAAACAGTTATAAAATAGTTGTACTAGAAGGAACCATTGTGATGATTTTGTAGGTGAGGAAACTGAGGCCCAGCAAGTTTGTGATTTGCCTAGCTTATCCACTGAGTTACTGTAGGAACTAGTACATAACCAGAGCTCCTCATTCTTTTATACTATATTTGGAAGTTTCATTAATTCATTAATTTTGGCATAGATAATGTATATATACAGCTCAAAATTCAAAAGGTATGAAAAGGTATTTAGCAAAAATTCTTGTCTTCTTTTGCCATTTGTGACCCAGTTCTCCACCCTAAAGGGAACAAAGCACATGTTTTGTTTCTTTCCAGAGCTATTATATTTATATAAAGAAAGATTCATTTTAAAGTATGATTTACTGGATTATATTTAGTACCACATTTTCAGTTTATCAATGTAAAATAATTTAAGGCAAACATATATCTTTAGATCTAAGTAAATATGCCTTTTTTAAGAGCATGAAACTTTTTTAACCTATCAAGAACCTATAAATAGGTTATTACATAGTTCATAAGCTGTGTATTTTATAATATGCCTGCTTTTCCACAGTAGTGAGCAAATGGAGTTATAACTTCTAACCTCTTCTCAGTAGTCTGGACAATGCCAGTGAAGTATTATTTCACCGTAATGATTATTTGTATGCTTTTCTTTGAATTTGTCATACCAACAAAATTATAAAGCTCTACTCTAAAGATTAGCTTAAAGAAACATAGAAATAACCTGGAAGTTAATCATTGGGATCTCAAAACTCTGCTTTGTCTAGTTCCTCCTCCAAGCCACTCTTTGTCTAGAATAAATAGCATCTTAGACTGATAGTACCAACCTAGGAAGAACTTCCTACTTTGAAAGGTTGGCAGCCTTTGAGCAAAGAAAACAAGGGTCAGGATATCCAAGAAGCAAATAAGCTAAGTCCTGTTAGTAATTCCAAAAAGTATTGTCCCAGAAACAGTGCTCTAAAAGGTGGCTAGCTTCCCAGGTCAGTCACTGAAATATTATTTAGCCCACAATATAAACACTATAGAATAGAACCATGCTTTTTAACAGTGCTTCTATGAGAAACTGTTGCAGATTTCAAATAATTAATGAATGAGCTTCAGGACAATATCCTGTTTTAATGAAGAATTGCCTAAATTTTCCTAAATGCATCATATGTTTGTTAGGTGTAAATTTAAAAGTTAAGTATTGATGTTTTGAGAAATTTCCTGATTATGTAACTTCTTTGTCTGCCTGACATACTATGGCATTTGCTAGTATGTTATGTTTAATTTGCAATTTGACCCTGTCAAAAGGCTAGTCTCCCCCTTGGTAAAGCTAATCTTATATTTGGTGTATGCTGTCACAACTTGTAATTCAATGTCAACTAGAATGGGGAATTTGAGAGAATTTGTTTTTCACTGAGCTAAATAAAAGAGCCTGTGCCTTTGGGTTTATATGGAAGGAGGACTGTACATGGCCAGTTTACCTGTGATTTGGGATGAATGTACTTGGGGGCACACAGCAAGTGAGTAAGTGAAATTGGGAAATGGCTTGAGGATATCATTTGATTTAAATTTATATTTGTTTTATTATTGTCCCTGCTAATCTTTCATGCTGCCTGTTAGTTGTACTACTTTCATCTAAATAATGTAATTGAAAATCAAGTAGGTAGTGCCTTCAAGTTCCAAACTGTATATTTCAGCAGTACAGTTAATCTCCAAAATGTGGACCTATCTGTGTGCCCATTTGTCTGACTTCTGTATCTCTTGGCCATACCTGTTATTAGCTTTATGGCCACTATATAGAATTATATAGTTGAAGCACTGCATAAAGGTGATTGGATGAGAGGGCAGTTGGCACCTGAAATCTAGCCTAAACTTTGCTCTCCAGTCAGGCTGAGTTTGCTTGGAGCACTGGGCACCTTTTTCTAATTCTTCCACCCAGAGGATGCACTTCCTAATTTGCATAAAGGTGAGTACAGATTAAGGGAGGCACTGATTAGCTCCACTTTTTGATTCACACAGTACAGCATATCTAGGCACTGAAATTGAATTCACTATTCCTGATTATTATTGAAATGAATAAGGATTTAATAGATACTCCTAGTACTTTAATTTCATACAGCAACCATTTTATTATAGCAGATGTTAGGAATATAAGAATGGATTGTTGGGCTTCCCTGGTGGCGCAGTGGTTGAGAGTCCGCCTGCCGATGCAGGGGACACGGGTTCATTCCCCAATCCGGGAAGATCCCACATGCCGCGGAGCAGCTAGGCCCGTGAGCCATGGCCGTGGGGCCTGTGCTCCACAACAGGAGAGGCAACAGCAGTGAGAGGCCCGTGTACCACACACACAAAAAAAAACAAAAACAAAACTAAACTAAAAAGAATGGATTGTTATAGTACATACCTAAAACGGGTTAGTATTTGGTAGGGCGATTTTTGCTAGCAAAGTTTAAAAATAAGACTATGCTTTGTTTTCATTCTGATCCCTGAAGTACAAAGACTTAATTTAAGAATTTCCTAAGATACATTGTAGCATAGTATGATAGAAAAAAACATGGGCTTTGGAGTCAGAAAAACTTGGGTTCAAATCCCAGCTTTGCATTTTATTAGGTATAAACTAGGACAAATTGAGATTTGTGTCTTATTTCCTCATCTGTCAAAATACAAATGGAACCAGCCTACCTTACTGGGTTGTTGTGAAGATTAGAAGACTTATTGTGTAAAGCAGGTGCAGGTGCTCATCAAATGTTTCCTTTCCACCCCTTCTTCTACCTCAACACCTTAAGACTACATTGTAAAAATCCAGTTATTAGTGTGGTGGTTGTTTTAGTTAGCTTTATCTTTAGATTCCTGAGAGTTAACCCCAAAGCCCTTTTTGTTTTTGTACTTGAAGATATGTCCAGGGTGTATTTCTGTACTTTAATGTCTTAGAAGGCTGACAGAGGGGTCCACAGAAACTGTTTTGGACCTCATTTGAACCTATGTAGCTAGAGTTAGACATTTGTGCAGCTGTGAATGGATTACAGCACATGCAGGATTATTGTTTCTTAATAAAGCCATGCCATTAGCTTCAGTTTTTATGATGATTTGAGTGTTTGTCTTGGTGATCAAGTACAGTGGAAAAATTTCTGCTTAGTGAGGTTGCCTGAGACTGGACCTACTAAAAAACAAACTCCATTTCGTTAATTTGGAGACATATGCAGACACAGTTATTTTTTTATTTTATTTTTTTTTTGCGGTATGCAGACCTCTCACTGTTGTGGCCTCTCCCGTTGCGGAGCACAGGCTCCGGATGCGCAGGCTCAGCGGCCATGGCCCACGGGCCCAGCCGCTCTGCAGCATGTGGGATCCTCCCAGACCAGGGCACAAACCCGTGTCCCCTGCATCGGCAGGCGGACCCTCAACCACTGCGCCACTGGGGAAGCCCAGACACAGTTATTTTTAATATGTTAGAACTGAATTAAGAAAAATGGAAACTCCAGATTAATGTTGTGGGTGAAGGAATAATTATATTATTATGTCTTTTTAGGCTTTTCTTTTGAAATAAGAAAGATCCCCCTATGTAGATAATCATAAAATCAGACTTAATAAATTATGTATTATTTATAAATTATGAATAATTATAGGTTAGATTATGATGAGGTCAAATCATATCTCTGACTCTGAGCAAGGCTACTAAAACTGTTGAATTTGTGCGGCTCTATGTCATGTTTTAAAGAATGTGTGCCCTGTACCTCTAAACCTCACTTCTAAACTCGTAGCTGAGAGAAAAAGTTTAATATTTACTTAGGATAAAAAGCTATTTTTAGAAGATGGTAAAGGTATTGTCTACAGGATATGTCAACAGTTTCAAACAGTTGTATTTATTTTATTAGATGAAAAATACTAATTTGTCCTTCTAATCATTTATCTATATAGGCGTTAATTCATGGACTAAACAGACATTATTACTCCATTACTATTAACTATCGGAAAAATGAACTGGAACAGAAGGTAAGCTTAAATTTTTATCTTAGAGGCAGAAAAAAATCTATTTCAAACAATTTAAACTATTACCTGGTATATTTGAATTTAAATTGTTGACCTCTTTCATTGATGCGTTCAAATATTTTTTCATTCCTGATGAACTGTAGCATAAAATAAAGGAATATTTTATTGGACAAATTGAGAGACATTTTACCTTATTGGTAGGCGCTAAAACAGGAGAGGAAGTAGGAAACAAACATTCCAGTTTGGTTTTATGATGAATTATAAAAATCTTTCTTCTAGTTCTGCGATTTTTCTGATTAATTTATCTTCTCCAATAAAATGGTCTTTTGTTACTAAATTGCTAAATAAATAGCTTTCCAGATTTGAAAGGAATAAATTAGATTGTAATTGTGTAGTGCTTTTTAAAAAAGTACCATGGTTACTTAGGATAAACTAAAGGTGAGTCAAAAGGGAAATGCATTTTAAGGGTTTTCAGATATTTAGATCTAAATTTTTATACCTTTTTATAGTAATCAAATTTGATGACTTTAAAAATTACCTAGCGTCTTGGTAGATTAGCATTCTTTAGTTTCTACTGTTTTAGGATTACCTCAAGAACAGTTTTTCTCTCAACTAATTGGAAATATTTAAGTCTGCCTACTGCTTTTTGAAATTACAATCTGAACTGCTTTTTTTCTTTATTATTACAATTAGTCATCCTCCAAATAAGCTTCTTGTATTTCTCTCTGAGAAAGACTTAAAAAATTTGAAAGAACATGAGTACTGTTGACAGCCCCTAAGTTTTGATTTCTACATGCACGCTGAAGTCCAAACATAAGTAATCAGTAGTAAACAAGACCTTTCTTACTAGTTGAAAGTGTTCCCCACAAAGTCACCCTAGAAGGGATTCTAGTGATGGTGTATGGGAGTGGAGTTAGAGGGCTCTCCATACTACTCCCTCTTTCAACCAGATCATCTCCCTTTTCAGTCTTATTTATATATTGTGGGCAGAATGTGCTGTATAAGATTTTCTGAAGTTTGATAAACAATTGTTTTAAAAGTTCAAAGCCACCAGTAAACTCACTCAAAGGTCCTAGGTGCTTGAGCATGACTTTGAGTGAGGGGCTGCAGGGGACCAGTTCTTCCTTGACCTGAGGGGAGACACAGAGCCATAGTTCTTCCTTCTGCTTGCTTTTGTCCCAAAGTTCATATCACCTGTGGTAGATTTAGTTGATAGCTTGAAGTACATTTTCAACACTTATTTTAATTTTATGTAGAATAGGTACAGGCTGTGGGATAAAAGGGTACCACTCAGACATAAACTGAAAAATTCATTCAGATATATAAATATTTTATCAGTCTGACACCCAGCTATTTGGAAATATCCATCTAATTACATCAAATTTTCTTTCTCTTTTTTTCCTTTATGGTACCCCATAAACTTAGCCACCATCCTTGGTATAAAAAACACACATATAAATACTTACATAAATTAATTAATATTTTGTTTATGTTCCTAGTATAGCTCAGTTCAGGTGCTTTCTTGATACTCAAAGCCCTGCCTTTACTCTTATCTCACCAACCTGTATACTTAACTCCAAGTGTTACCTGAGGGGCCCAATCCAATCTTTGTCCAGGCATGGTAGAATTATTCTCCTGCTCTGTGGGAACTTTCTTTGTTTGCTTCTGAAGTGTAGAAAAATCCAATTCTCAACACTTAATTATAGGTAGTTTTATAGCATAGGTAGTTGCAGCTGCACCAAAATTTCTTGAGGATGTATTTTCTAAAACACTGTCACTGGCGAAGATGGGAAGCAATCCAAGAAATTCGGGTTACATGTGCAGGAATTTTCCAGTTTTTTTCCAAACTACTCTTGCTTCCATGGGCCCTAGGAGGGGCATGGAGGAATACGGATCTTTTGTGTCTTGAAAATTTTCATAGGTGATTTTGACATATAGCTTATTCTCTAGCATAAGGAAAACTTTGTACCACTTTTAGCTGCAAACCTCTAAACAAATAATTGTTCTAAACTAAACTCATACACTTCCGACTATGTCTTTAGATCCTCATAGCTTGTGGATCTTACTTAAAGTATACTGGTTCTCATAGCAAAAGAACAATAGTCATTCTGTAGGTACCGTTTTTTTTTTCACATTGCATAATTTTATCAATCGTTTAGAAAACTCTTCTTATTCAATGATTATCCTCAACTGAAGGACATTATAGAGTAGGACTTTTAAGAAAAACTGTCTTAAGACTCTGAACTTGAAAACTTACGAACTTCGAAGAATACGTATTCAGAATTAGGAGTCCAGTTTGAGAAATAATGAACTAAAGTGTTTAGTTCCATGATCACTACTAATAGGGTCTGATCCCAGTTTGCTGATGTGATTGCAAAGTGGATGGATCTGTGATTTCCTTCCCAGTTTTACGACTTTTCATTCTGGTATAAAGAAGTTCAAAAATTTTAAATTATAGATGGAATATTAGAATTTGAAGAAAATTTAAAGATTATCTAATACAAGCCTTCAGTTCATAGATATGTAAACAGGGACTCAGAAAGATTGACACAGTCATTCAGTAAATGGAGGCATTTACCTCCTTATCTCGGCATTTGAGAGCAGGGCTATATGAACTATTAGAAATCCTGTGTGTAACATAGTAGTTTCATTCATTCAACATATGCTTATTTAGTATTTGCTATGATTAGATTATGATCTAGATTCTAGAATCTAGACCTTGGTAATCTTGAAATAAACAGAGCAGAGTCCTTGCCTTGATTTCTCTTTAATGGGAGAGAAATGCACTAAACAAGAAAACAAAAATTTCAGCTGTTTATAGTGTTATAAAAATAATAAAGCAAGTTAAGGAAAGAAAGATGTTTAGATAGTATGGGGTGGCTTTATTATATAGTGGTGAGGAATGGCAGCTATATCTAAGGAAGTGAGAAGTGTAAGCCATAGAAAGATAAGAAAAATAGCCTTTGAGGCAAAGGGACAGCAAATGCAAAGGCCATGAGTTGGAGTATTCCTTAGATTTTATTAATATAAATTTAGAAGGATACTTATTAGAGTTTATTTAAATTAATAAAATTAAACTTAAATTCACTAATTCCAAAAGTTGTTTGTAAAGTTGTTTCTCAAGACAAATAAAGGAAATTTTCTCAATACAGGAAAATAATTAATTTTTCTTTATATTTTTTAGATGTTGTTAAATTTGCATAAGAAGAGTTGGATGGAAGGTTTGACACTTCAGGACTACAGTGAACACTGTAAACACAATGAATCAGTGGTAAAAGAGATGTTGGAATTAGCCAAAAATTACAATAAGGTAAAAACTTACTTTCAACATTTATTTCTTATAATCTTTAGAATATATATGATTAGATATCAGGCATTGTATAAATATAAATAGTTAAGAGTAGAATGGCCTATTTTGTAGACCAGATAGTAAATATTTTAGGCTTTATAAGCCATCCAGTCTGTTGCAACTACTCAACCCTGCTGTTATAGTGTAAAAGTAGCCACAGACACTACGTAAAGGGATGAGTGAGGCTATGTCCTAGTAAAACATTATTTACTAAAACAGGCAGTTGGCTAGATTTGACCCGTGGCTTATAGTTTGCCAACCCCTGTTGTAAATAGCTTTACAATTGAAATCTCTTCATTATTCAGAGGACTTTTTCTTGGAAGGGAAGGAGGAACAAGGAGATGTGAACAACAACAGCATTTAATACTTGATAACATATAACTTATTTTATGAACTTCTCTGTTTTTCATTTAATACGTATTTATTGAAAACCTGCTATGTGCCAGGTGCTGGGGATATGGTAAAAAAATAAGACCTATCCTCATGGAATTTATTTTCTGGTAGGGGAAGCAGAAAGTAAACAAATAAACACAACATAATACATTGTAATTAGTGCTGTGAAGACAATAAACAGGATGATGTAAAGAGTAGCAAAGGGAGACCACTTCATATGAGGATGTAAAAAAGTTACATTTTTCACAATCTCCTGAAAATATTTATTGTATGCTAAAGTATATGTGGCCATGATAACATTTTGTTTATAGATTTATGTTCTTTTACAATTCTGAAATTAAGAGAATACTTGACCAAGACTAAAATGTATCTTCTGTATTGTATCAGTTTCCTAGCATTGCAATCACAAACTACCATATAATGGGTGACTTAAAACAACAAATTTATTCCCTCACAATTCTGAAGCTAGAAGTCCAAAATCAAGGTACTGATAGGGCCATGCCCCCTGTGAAGCTTCTAGTGGGGAGCATCCTTCTTTTTTTTTCTAGCTTCTCTTGGTCCCCAGGCATTCCTTGGCTTGTGGCAGCATAACTCTAATCTCTAACCAGGGTTATGACTTCAATGTATCCTTTTAGGGGGGACATGATTCAACTCATAACATGTATTTTTCAACTTTTTTGACCAAAACCCATATAAAGAATAGATTTTACATTTGACCCAGTACCTGCAAATGTATATGTATGTGTGTATATATATTGCAACAAAAGTTTTATGAAGCAATATTTACCCTTATTACAAGTGGTTATATTCTATTTTCTTTCTCATTTGACTCAATTTCATACTGTTTCAGTTATATACATACATATTATATACATCGACATATAGTTTGCAACCTATTAATGGGTTGAAAACCTGCAATTTGTAAAACATATACATACTATACAGTGTTATGCTTACAGATACTTATCAAATATCTTCTGTACAATTTGCAGTGGAAAACAGGGATCCTTCCTTCATTTTTAGGAAAACAGGGGCATTAAGAAAAGTTCATAACCAGAGTACTTGACCAAAATTCGTGTGTTTGATAACACCTTAGTATTCAGATTGTCCACAGACCAGCTGCATCAGTATCACTTGGGATCTTGTTAGAAATGCAGGTGTTTGACCTGCTAAATCAGAATCAACATTTTAACAAGATTTCCAAGAGATTTGTATACTCATTCAAGTTAGAAGTTAGAGAACACTGCCATAGAGAAGTCCATGTGAAGTCCTGTAGAAGTTCAAAGGCTTTTGCTTTCAGCTGGTACAGACCCAGGATGATGTCTTTAGAGAATAACATTTGAACTGGACCTTAAAGCATGAATAAGATTTGGACGTACAAAGGAATGTTACCCTAGGCCAACTGAACATCATGAGCAAGACTAGGAGACAGAAAAGCAAGGGCATCTTTAGGAAACTGTGTTTGGCTAGAGTACATGAGAAGGGTGTACATAAAAGGGTGAATAGTGGGGAATAAAGATTTTTAAAGTTACTGAAGTCAAGTAACAGAGTTTGGAGAATCATGATAGAGTTATTTTTGATCAGGGGCATGGTATACCCAGAACCTGACTTTAGAAACATAATTTGACAAGGCTATAGAAGAAAGAGTGTTGTAAGAGGAGATTTGAAATGGAGATTCTATATTTAGGAGGAGCTTGCTATTACCCAAACAAAAGGTACTAAGTGTGTGAATTACTATAGTGGCAGTGGGAAGGGAGGTATCAATAGACTAATAAAATAAAACATGGTGCCAGTTGGATAGATAAAGTAAAAGAAGAAGGAATCAAAGATGAGTTAAATGTCTCCTGCCTAGGTGACCAGAAGTATGTTGGTACCATTAACATTTCCAATTTAAGTAGAAGTAGAAAGATTGAGAAAGAAGATAAAGAGATTAAACAAGCAGGGAATTCCCTGGCGGTCCAGTGGTTAGGACTCTGCACTTGCACTGCCGAGGGTGCAGGTTCAACCCCTGGTCAGGGTACTAAGATCCCACAAATCATGGCTCGGCCAAAAAAAAAAAAAAAAGTTTAAACAAGCAGTTTACTATGTGGGACTAAAAATTAATGGTGGGGGCTAGAGCTTTTGGAGACAGTTAAAGTTGATATTGGTTGGCACACACCAAAAAAGTAATATTTTACTTTTTAAATTAAACACATCTTACAAAATAAATATTAACCAAGGGACGGTGTATAAGATTTGCCAAGTGTTAACAACAACAAGTGAGAGAATTGAGCTTTGAAAAAATGTTGATGGGCCCATACAAGCTAAATTCCAGCAGAATTAGGTTTGGCTTTGAAGAGCATGCCCTGATTTATATGTAGTGTTCCAGCTGGAAATTCCCATTGCTTCTAGATTGTAGGGAAAATATATATATATATTTAATCTTTCTAGTGTATGTTTTCATGCTGTGGAGATTAAAGAGAAAACAATAGTTCATCCTATTTAAAACAGTTAACCTTTTATAAATTAACCTTTAAAGAAATTTAAGTTATTATTCAGTGGACTGTAGGAATGGTTTTCATTTCTCTGTAACATTACAAGTTTAAGTAAATTCTTATTGGTACTACTGCCAGGAAATAACCTATTTATGGTTACTGCTGCCCATCCACAGAAGTTTTTGCTATTTTACAGTTTTAAAAAATCTCTGAAGTACTCAAAAATTTGTAAGGTTTGGTTATAAAGTGAAAACAATGTATAAGCTGTGATATGAAGGAGTCCAAATTTGGGGCTGTAATTCCCTCTGTGATTGAAAGAGAATGTGGTGGAGTTTTTAGTAACACTTAAAATATAAAAAGAAAGGCCCATACAACCAGTTCTTCATAGTATTCTTTTTAATTGGTTGGTGTTTTAAACTAAGGTAATTACTGTTACGTGCCAGTTAGCTCCTAAAGTGAAAGAAGGTTAGAAAATAATTAAATTCCTTTGTACCAACTTTTTGATTTCAAGTCTGAAGTCCACGCAGACGTTCTGCTTGATTATTAGTCACTGATTTCTCTAGTTACTGAACTTTAGCACCCACAACTCTTTTATTCCAAATCTCCTAGTTTATTCGTGCCAAGATGTATCAGTATTTTAATATTGATAACATTTGATTGGATATTTGTAAATGAATCTGCCAGTGAAAAAATGAATTGTAAAAGACTTTTTTAAGAATAGCATAGACACATAAAAGTTTGCTTTGTTTTCAAGCATGTAGCCCTGTAAATTCAGAGATCTGACAGTTTACTTTTCAGGTAGAAAAACTGCCTACTTAGGAACCTGAAAGAAGGTTTGGATGCAACTTTTATGTAATTACATACAAAATATGTAATTATATGATTACATTTGGTTTATCAAAGTAGCTGTATTAAATAAGAAGGTCTTGTTTTGTGCTAGTGCAATAAGATAAGAAAAACAAAATAAGATATAAATATTGGGAAACCAGGCCAGATTATCATTATTTAAGTATGATAGGATATGTTTGCAATCAAGCATAGAAATACATGAAACTAAACTAGAATACTATTAGAACTATTATGATTGAGAATTATGTAGCCATTGCAGTTACATAGGCTGAAACCAGTTGAAAAATATAAAAGGCAGGGCTTCCCTGGTGGCACAGTGGTTGAGAGTCCGCCTGCCGATGCAGGGGACGCGGGTTCATGCCCCAGTCCGGGAAGATCCCACATGCCGTGGAGCGGCTGGGCCCACGAGCCATGGCCGCTGAGCCTGCGCGTCCGGAGCCTGTGCTCCACAACAGGAGAGGCCACAACAGTGAGAGGCCCGCGTACCACAAAAAAAAAAAAAAAAAAATTTTAAATTTATATATATATATATATATATATATATATAAAAATAAAAGGCAAATCAGTTTACAGAAGCATCCAAAATTACAAAGTATTTAGGAATAACTACCATAAAAAATGTAAATGCATAAATATGTATATATGACTTCTTTGAAAAATGCTAAAAACATTGTGAATAAATTCCCATTTCCAAAAGTAAGACTTAGTATTTGTAAAGCTGTGGTCAAGCTTCCCAAAGGTTACTTTAGTGCTAGTAAGAATATCAGTGAGCTTTTAAATTTTGATAACTTGACAGTAAAGTTTACCTGCAATAAAAATAACATTTATTAAATGCTTATTAGGAGTCAGACTGGCAGAAAATATTTGTACCTATAACACAGAAAAGGCTAGTATCCAAAAAGTACATAACAGACAAAGAATTCCTATAAAATATAAAGAAAGGATAATAAATTGGACAACAGAGCTGGAAAATTCACTGAAGATGAATGGCATATAAACATGAAAAAGAATTCAATCTTATTAAGTATTCAAAGAAAAAAGTTAAAAGTATAAGATTTTTTTTTCTTTTCAAATTAAAAAAAATGGTTTGGGAGAATGCGCCACTAGTAGGAAAATAAAAAAGTGATATATGACATTTTTGAAGGCCATCTCCCATTTTATCTTTAAATTTTAAGTGCATATAACTCTTTAAGCCAACGTGTTCTCTTTTAAGGATTTATTATGAAGAATGAAATTCTACAAGTACCAACTTAGAGAAATATTTAAAACTTGATGTTATGTGTATAAAATGAAATTGTGTAACAATATGAAAAGTCCCTACTATGTTACCTTCCCTCCATTTTTCAATGATACCTCTCTGTCTCGCATACATCTCAACGTATTATGCTGTTAACAGTGTCACCTCTCAGGTGGAAGGTAGGGGAATTTTATACTTTATGTAAATCCTGGATTCTTTTTAGTTTTTGCACTAAGCAGGTGTTATTTATATCTATTGTGTTAGCTTGAGGTAGCAATGGCTTAAAGAGGATAGGAATGTACATCTCTTGCAGTTCAAGTCCATGTGAAACTTTGAAGTTATTACATTTACATACCCAGATATCTCCATCTTTTGCTCCACTTTCCTTGTATTGGCTTCCATCGTTTAGATCTCCTCATGATTCATGGTGATTGCTAAAGCTTTAGCCATCCCATCTGAGTTCCAAGCAACAGGAAGAAATGCAAGGGCAAAAGAGAGAGACCTCTCAACTAAATCAATTCCTGTTCAGGATCCTTCCTATAAGTCCCACCCAGCACTTCTGATTATATCTCATTGGCAGAACTTAATCACGTGGACATACTTTGCTTTGAGAAAGGCTATATAGTCTTTTACCTGTGAGCATTACTGCCTTTAATAAAATTAGAGCTATATTATAAAAGAAGATGTGTATTAGGTAGGCAACTAGCAGTAGACTCTGCCATAGAAAGTTTTTTCAACAGTCTAAACTGCAGTTTCTATTATACATACACACACTTGTATGGGCACACACATGATGTTTATTTTATATCTCTATTTTATATAATTATATTTTAAAATTGGATTCCTTATAATATTTTTAGAAGGAATTTACGTATTCTGGGTCACTTAATAAATCATGGGTTTGGCTTTATTCAGGATGTGTCATTAAAAAGTAATGATTTCCCGAATTGCCATGAATGTTGTTTTGAGGTCTTTGGAGATAGATAAGACTGTATTTAAGTCACAGTTTCATTGCTTATTGGCTGTGTGGCTATATTGTCCCCATCAGTTGGGCACACTCCTTTTTTGTATATTTCATATTGCATTATAATTTGAGATTTACAGGCAGGTAAAGTAAAACCCAAATGCAAGCTTCTTGAAGAGCAAGAACTGTCTTACTCATAGTGAGTACTTAATAGTTATTTACTGAATGTATAAAATGAGGAAAATTCTACTGTTGAGGACATACATAGAATGTACTAGAGCGTTATAAGCACTTTCAAAAGGAGAGTTAGAAAAAAAATTTATAGTAGAAGTATTGCTGGAATTAACATATAGGAGATAGTGCCTAATTTCTTTATGTAAAATGTAGATTACTTCACTGGGATGTTTTAAGGATTCAGTAAATTAATATGTACATGTTAATGTTTAATTACTAATGGTTGTAGGGAACCCACTTTTTTGTTCTCCATATTCACACCTGTAATACTTTCTCATATAGTTTTCTAATTGTTTCATGTTCGTTAATTTTGCTTTCCCAAGTATGTTTTATAAAAGCCATTTCTTTAAACTTATTCTCTATCCCCATAACCCATAATGTGATTTTCAGTTATATAGTCAATGCATTGACTTTTTATGAAAATCAAGAAAGAACTAAAATGCCTATATTACATTCACTAGCAGTTTATGCAGAGATTGTTTAATGGTGAAAAAATACACCATATAGGTGATTTTACAAAGCATGTGCTTAAATGGAAGCATGGCATGTTGAGAGTGAACACTGCAAACATATCAAAGGGAAAAAAAGAAGCCCAAGGAATGGAATAGATATGACATATAAAGTGAAATAAGAGACATGGTGTCATGAAAGCAGAGGTTAAAGGATTAGAAGAGAAAAGGGGTATTGGAAAAGGTGTTCAGAAAGTTCAAGTAAACTGAGTCCATTGGAATTTGCCAGGTGGAGATCCTTAAAAGAGTACTCATGAAGTGCTAAGGGTCCAATCCATGTTTGTTAGAAGGTAAATAAAATGGTAGAATTTGAAACACAGATTTTCCATTTGAGAAATTTGACTCTTACCAGGAAAAAGATAATGAGGTTAATGGCTTTAGTAAAAGCCTCTTTAAGATGGGGGGTACATCTGAGGGGATTATGATAACACAACAGACCAAATTCCAGGAATTTCTTAGAACTGTGCAGACCGTGCATGATGGGATAGCCATCTGGGGGTCTTTGTTGATAAACTGTTAAAAACGTTTCTAGTGTGAATAGCCACAAACATTTTCAGTGCTTTTTTGTTGGTTGAGTAAACCGAAGAGCACGAATGCAAAAGCAAAATTTGATGCCAAATCACAGAAGTTGCCATAAACACAGAAGTTCCCCTAGTAAGGACACTGCCTGTGCCTGAATTTCATTTGTTTCTGCTGCTACCATTTCTTAATTTTTCCTGGTGACTAGCCAGATAAGAGCTATGAATGAAGGCAAACTGGTCTTGCTCAGATGATAGATGAGATAAAGGTAACTTAGGTAGCTGGAGAAAATATTTAGGGGTTTAATGTGATGATCTGGTCTATCTCAGAATGTAAGAGATGTGCTTACTCTTTTGTCATGGGGGTTTGCAACCTTAGTATATGCCTAAATCTACAGCTGCTCCTCATTTTCCAGATGGCATCTATGGCTGGGAGTACTTTTTACCATCTGCACTTCTCAAAGAGTTTGTGAACTCTCTCTTTTAATTATAGGAAATGGAAAAACTAATTGGTAAAGTGGTTAAATGATATAAAAGATTTTTTAAATTGAGTTAGAGCTTTTTATATTCTGTTTAACCTTTCAAATAAGATCAATGCTTTAAGTGCTTTTTTACTTTCATCTTTGCATGTCTGCCATCTTTGATATTTGCAACACTCCAAAATACTCCATAATAACTATTTTGTACATGGATTGGTATTTTGAGCCAAATTCCAAAACCCTTACCTCCTTCCAGTACCGTAAAGTACTATTGTTGGCGTGTGCATAGAACTAACACTGAATGGATATAGAGTACAGACTTAACGTGAATTGTTCCATTTATCTAATATGTTTTCAGGTTGGTAAGGTATAGTGTCATGATTTGTAAAAGTAATTTAGAAAGACAGACTTTTTATGCGTTGCCAGTGTTTCTGTATATGTAAAACACTGAGATAGTAGGAGAAGCAATTTTCCAGTTAGAAGATACTTTTTTTAACTAGCTGCGAATAATAGGAGTGACATCTGACTCTGAAAATGAATATATTCTCTGTCTAGGGAATTCTAGATTTGGAGTGTTATTAACTTATTTTCCCCTTTTTAGTTTTATGAGTCATAAATGTATTTCCTAATGATGTGTTGTAAATAAGTATCCTGTAATAATCAGTAGATACAATACTTATTCACTGTCTTTTCTCTTTAGGCAGATTCTACTGCGGAAAATTCTCCAGATAGTTTGTCCGTTTATAAAATTAGATACTTGCCATCTTTGCTCATTTTCAAGTTCTCTGTTTACAAAACTATTAAGAAGGTGTGAAATGCAGCCAAACTTCCCAGTTTATGGGAAATGTCTGATGATTGCATTTCCTACGTGTTCATTGTTCACACATGAAGAAATTTGGCAGCTGTGAGATGATTAAGTTTAGAGTATCCAAATCTAACCCTCACTGGGATTTTGGTTTCCTGCTTTCTGCCCCTGTTTTCTCACCCCCTTTGTAACCATATTAAGTGCTATGGTATTACTTCTTAAGATTGGTGATACTTAAATTTTCTTCATTTTCCATTTATCAAATGCTGTGAATAAATCATAGACCAGGAGTTCACCTGATGCAGAGTCCTAGCTTCAGGCAGTACCATACCCAAAACTGTTACGAAGGAGGTTGCTTAAACTTAGAATTCTTAATAAAGAGGTTACACAGTGGTGCATTATTAGGGTAGAGGGCAATATTGGTAGCTAATCTAAATGTTGTAATTACTTCAAAATTATTCTGCTAGAAAATTTATGGTCATACACATAAAAGTTTGTAGCTGGCTTTGAAAATAGTAGAAAGTGGTTTGTATATATGGTTTGGTTGAATTAATTTTTATTTGATTTGGCATTTATTTCAAGTAATTTTTTGATGTTGAAAACTTCAGATTACTCTATTTCTTCATGATTATTAAAGATCATTCATGTGGAGAACTGAAAATTTTTTCTGAGTACATCTATTACTTTTACAGATTTAAATATGTGAAGGTATTAAGGGATTACACTATATGATTTGTTAACTGTGGATCAAAAGTCAGTAGCAGGTCCTTTGATCCTAAGTGTTACTGATAGTTAGATACTGGGTATGCACAGTTTGGTTGACAAGAAAAAGGTGACAAAGATAATAGGAAGTTGGGGGAGAGCCATAGTGAAAGTAGGAAAAGAAAAAGGAGACAGAATGGGAGTAGTTAGTACCCCAGTGCCACAAGCAGCTCCCTTAGGGTCTTCCATCCTCCAGTTTGGCCATCCCTCAGATAATTCCGTAACAGTTTTCAAATGGTTACCACTTCCATTTGGTGGTCCAATTGGATATTTTCAATGTCTTTTACAAATTTCTTAAGTCTGTTTTCAAAATGATGGTGGTTATAGTTTTTATTACCCTGAAGGCTGTTCTGAAGATTAGCAGAATTGCTTTTTTGTGCAATAAATTACTTGAATAAAAGGTTCTGTGAATGAAAATTATGATCATCATTATCTGATGATTATTCAGCAGTGGGAAAAGTACATTTAGAATTTGAAACTCTGTCCTTTGTGTTTCATTCACAGGCTGTAGAAGAAGAAGATAAGATGACACCTGAACAGCTGGCAATAAAGAATGTTGGCAAGCAGGTGAGGTGTACTGTAATAGGTTATGCATTCACATAATGACATGCTCTTGTAGAGTTAAAAGTATTTTTTTTTCCCTGTCTGTTCACTGTGATTTTTTTTTCCCTGTCTGTTCACTGTACATTTTTCTTCTGTCATGTAAATGTGATGCTAATTTTAAAGGTCCCTGAATTATTTGATGTCAGATTCTTTTTGCCATCTATAGAGAAGTAAATCACAAATATACCTGTGAGATACTATCTTTAGTGAAAACAATTTTGTAGAAATAAAGTAGGAAACTTGTGTCCTGAGTTGATTTTCCAAGCACTATTTTTACTTGAAATAATATTGTCCATGAAGATAATAGAATGATAGGTTTATTTCATATGTAACAGTTTTAAAAATGATATAGTTTATCAATATGTAGGCTTCAATATATAGGTAATATTCCTGAGAAAGCTTAGAGCCCTGTTGGATTCTACTGAGTGAAGGGAAAGGGTTTTAAGTATTTGCTCTTTCACTTTTCCCAAGATGAAATATATATTTTAGTTCCTATTTTTCTGAAGGTTGGGGGGAACACAGCAACCAATTAAAAGAATCTACAGATTAATTAGACTGTTTTTTAAAGAATGTTGATTACATTTTTTCATTTCATGGAACATGGTTATCATATTGCTGATGTTGGCAGAATCTTGATATTTCAGATGCAAGACACTAAGCTGTCTTTGCTTTCAGCCATCCTACCATATGCTCTGATCCCATCACATCTCACAAGCTATGTAGGTTTGGGCCAGGACCATTCTTGGATGGGAAATCTCTAAGAATCACCCAGCTGCCACAAGAAGTAATGTAGATAACTGAGGGAAGTGTGTTACCAATTCACCGCAAAACCAGTTATTCCAATAGAGCAGTAGGGGCAAAGGTCTGACTTAAGTATCATAATTGGTGAAGTCAAATCTCACTGCATTCTGAATATTACAGTTTCATTAACAAGAAGAACCCTCCAAAACCGAAAATGAGGTATAATTCATCTTATTCTCTCATCCTGTGTGATACAGTCACCCTTGTTGTCTTTTCCCACTACTTATTTTAGTCTAATATGTAATATTAGATCACCAACTTGGAGCCTAGCATTCAGTAACTATTTTTTGAATAAATGACTCTGATGCTATAGTTTCTTGATGTAGATTCTATTTAGCAGTTAGCAGCAAAGAAATTAAAAGTGAAACTGAAAATATATATAATTGGCAAAGTTTAATAATCATCAGAATCATTTTTTAAAAATATAGTACTTCACTAGTTTGGCCTCCTTTGTGGCAAAAGCAAAACTGCCTATGATGGAATCAGACCAATATCTTTTTCTCCTGCCAGTCTTTCTTAGTCTCTGTCACCTAAAATGTCCTAAGGCTTATTTCTGAAATAAAGAAAATTTAGTGTTGTGGTCTAGTTATTTGAAATTATTTGTAGCGTGTTGTATCTCTGGGTATTTTAAAGAAATCAAGCGTATTGAAATTGTAGTTTAGAAAAGAACAGCCAAGAAGTAATTTCAGTGGTGAACATTTGTTTAAAGTTAGGAGTCTTGGTATTTTAGCAAAATACATATAAGAAAATAATGGTTTAGTTGAAAGTTTTTTATTGTGTGCAGTATCTATCCTTTACTTCAAAGCTTTCAAATTTAGCTGAAATATTTCAATCAGCTCAGCCTTAAACATAAATGTATATTAAGCATTTAAACTTAACCTCCTTTATTACAATGCAATTTTAAGTCTTGTTTTTAACTCAGATGTTTCAAATACAGATTTGATCAGGTTTAAATTAATGGATTGTACCTATATTCTTTTCTGTGATACATTTTTTCAAAATAGCTACACGAAATATCCTTAACATTTTAGAATTGATCCAAATTGTATTTAAATTTTTAAATTACTAACAGTGACTTTTGATCCAAGAATATTTCCTGAATCATTTAAAACACTGTTCCTGAAATATTAAAATTACATAGGAATTAAATTAAAATTACAGAGGAAGTGATGAGAATTCACATTGAACTCTTTCCTTTTGGTATGTCTGCTTTGAGTAAAGTACCCCCTCAGACATTCAGTATATATGAATGGCAGAAAGTATACACACATAATCAGGCTTATACACACAGATAAAATGCTTATGCTTTTTTAAAAAAATCAGATGATTTCGGATTTGTATAGAATTCCTTGTGACTCTTTATCATTTCTGCTGCAGAGTCATAACATCGATTGTGTAAATCGGTCTTTATTTTATCAGCTCCTTAACATTTTAACAGATTTAGAAATCCTGAAAATGTAACAATATATAGGGAAAGTTAAATTGTAAAATATATATAAATTTAGTTTTGGCTTTCTTTACCAATTTCATCAGCTACTGAAAAAAAATCTAAATAATTCATCTACCAGTAATATGGTTCTTTTTTCTTTTTCTTTCCTTATTCCTTTTTTCTTTTAGGACCCCAAACGTCATTTGGAGGAACATGTGGATGTACTTATGACTTCAAATATTGTCCAGTGTTTAGCAGCTATGTTGGATACTGTTGTATTTAAATAAAGCAATGCAAAAAGCTCTTAGTGATACTTTCAGTGTATAGTCCTCTTGTTCCTAATGCTCAAAATCAAGGGACCTCTGAAGGTGTATTTGGTTAAATGTAAGACATCTGGCATCATTTGCAGCACTGTAACACCTTCAGTCTCCGTTGTGCAATTACTTCTGTTTCTTTAGTCAGGGTCTTTGCAGATTCCAAAGTTGTGTAAGAATACATCAAAGTGGACAAATTTTGTTAAGATCCCATTTAATATTTGAAGAAATCAGTAACACAAATATATTTTGATTGTTGCTTACAAAATAAAATACATTTACAGTCTATGTCTCCTGAGGTCTTTTTGGCACTGGGTGGAATTGACAGAATAACATTTGACAGTGCACTGGAAATCTCACACAAAGATATGTTTTCCTTTGTAATTTAAGATAACACATAAAACATCAGTGTGATAACAAAACTTCACAAATGTAAAATGACTGCCATTAAAGAGTGGCTACCTCATTAGTGAGTAACCCAGAAAAATGTTGACATATTTTATTAAAAATACTTGTCACAAGTTAATATTGAATACTCAATATCTTGTTAACAGATTATACTTTCAGTATTTCAGAGGGGTACATATAAGGAGAAAAGGGAGGCAGTTTAAATTTAGACTTTGATGATTTTTTTTTTTTTTTAAAGAGTACATTCCACCAACAGTGTTGCGATTGTCTGGGAATTGCCTGCTGCAAAACTTCACTAGACTTCCAGCTGAAACAGCCATAGAAGGTGTGCAGTGTCCTCAAAGCAAAACGAGAAACGTAGCCATAATGTGAATTGAATATCATGAGCACATAAGCAGTAATTTTGTTACTGTTTTCTCTCATCTTTCTTAAATTAACTTAGAAGTACCCAGTTTTCTGATAAAGACAAAAATTTGACTAATGGCAGTTTTCATAGATGACCTCGTCCCTCAACCTGTTTCTAACCTGATGTACATAAGTACTCACACATGGTACAGCACCATACTGGGTACACCAAAGAATGTGCAAAACGCATGGAGACAAAGATTCAATTGTCTCTCTCTTTGTGAAAAATGGTAAGAATGTTTCTAAGGCTTCATTAAAGAGGGAATTTACTTGGGGATTTAGAATTGAGCTTCAGCCTGTGATAGAGTAGTATGAATAATGTGGTGAACCAAATTACTCTCCTATTTGAATAATTCTAGGCTGTTCTTGGTTGCCTAATGAAAAGTTACCAGAAACTAAAAGTGGAAGTGGCTTAAATTCCCACTATGTTTCACAGTCTCTGTTTTTGGTGGAATAAGGTATTCTGAGCATTTCTTGATTGTCCTGTGGTTTCTTCTTTTAAATATAGTGATGGTATATTTTATATAGGACTTGTAATATGTATTAATTGTTGGGATTATAACAGCTAACCATTTACAATTAAAATATGAGTTGAAGTTTGTAGAAATTTTCCTTTTGCCTGATTTAAACTTGTGTGCAAGTGTTTCGGGTTTTTTTAATACATGATTTTCCCCTTTACATAAATCAGGTTCTGTGACTTCTTTCACAGATAGTGTGAAAAGCTAGTCAAGATTATTTTTGTACAATATGTCCAAAGAAGAAGGCCTCAGTAATACAAGGGTTATTCTCAACATTGCATTGGAAACTACTTTTTTTTTTTTTTCTTTCTTTCACTTTAGTCCCCTGAAAAATAGCTCCTGAGTGAGTAAAGTGACTGAGAAGGCTTACACAAGGCCTGCCTTTTGCTCTTCTTGTTTGATCACCTCATCTTCCGGGACTTCCCACAGTCACATACCATGTTCTCCCACTTGGTTCATGTTGGAGACGTTCCCAATTTCAAAACCTTACCAGAATCCCTCCTAGCAAAAACCTACAGTTTTGTAGATTTGGAGTCAATCAGAATGAGGATGTCTTAAGAAGGCTCAGTGAACACCTTTCTCTTGGAATGCACAGCTATTTTAGAAGCAGCCTGATAACCCAGGCCGAGGCAGGCACTGAAACAACTTATTTAATCACAAGCTCAATAAGCCACTTCAGGGTGTGTGTGTGTGTGTGTGTGTGTGTGTTTATGTGAGCATCTTTACCGGTCTCTGCAGCACTAAAGCAGCACTAGAACCAAAACTCTTGCCTCTAATACAGAGATGTTCCCGCTTTCCACTTAGCCTAGTATGGGGGCATCAAAAGCTCCAGCCTCACTATTCAGTGCCATCTGCCTGTACCAGGAGCACCTGAGTCTTCCGGGAGCTCATTAGAAATACAGGCCTGCTGAATCCGAATCAAGAATCCTGGTGTGGTGCATAAGCACTTCTAAAGTTTGAGAAGACCAGCTCTATGGAAGTATGATTCAAGAGCTGATGTGCTGATTCTGAGAAAAGCCTGTTTTCCTTCTTGAGCATCTATGTTAAAGACGTAGCCTGTATGTGAGGAATCCCTGAATTCAGTACTGGTAATCTAAGTGAGAATGCACATTTATCTCCTAATCCAATTCCTTAGAAACTCTGAGGAGGAGGCACTCTCCCTTTCCTCTACTTTAACATGTCATTTTTAGCATTCTTCATTTTTAAAAAAGCCAGTTCAGGGTACCGGGAATAACAAAACCCGAAAAAGAGTCCAGGTAGAGTCTCTCCTTTCTGCGACACACTGCAGGCTCTGTCCCACCGAGGAGGGGGTGGAGAGGCATTCGGGGACAAAGAAGTGAATGATCGAAAAAGGGGAAAGCAAGAGTAGCCAAAACCAGGCCAAAGGCTCTCGGGAGAAATGGCGGTGAAAGGTAAAAGGCAAAGAAAACCAAGCGTCCAATAATGTCATAGCTGCTGTCCCCTCCCCCCACACCCCAACGCCTCAACAGTTAAGGCCCTGCTTGTTAGTGAAGCTTCCTGGCCACGAGCTGAGATTTGCTTTCGAAAGGAAAATGGGGTCTGGCTATATTTTTTTTTTCCCAGTCCGGGACATCTGGGCACCAACCCTTCCGGCCCTGGGCCGCGCTCGCCGGGCCTTGCCACGCCTGGTGCCCTCTGCGGCCAAGGCGCCCGCCCGCCTCGGGGGCGCAGTCCGGGCTCAGCACTGGCCGCTCAGCCCCCAGAGGCGGCGCTCTCAAAATGCGCCCGCCTAGGCGCAGGTCGAGTCGGGTTAGACCCTCTCTGCAAAGCGCCAGACCCACCCAATGTGCCCGGCGCCGGTCTCCCTCAGGGAGCGGCCGGGCCCGAGGAAGGCAGATGCACTCTCTCGGAGGAAGGTACGAGCTCCACCGGGCGGAGGCGCCCAGGCCGAGCCTCCGGCAGGGAAAGAGTGTGTGCCCCCGGGGTCCGCGCCAGCGGCCGCTCGCCCCGCGCTCCCCGGGTCTGTGGGCGGCTCCCTCTCGGGACCGCCAGGGTGCAGGGGAGCCTACGGGGACCTTAGACAATGGAGCCAGAGCGGGGCGGCTGGCCTGGGGCCGAGCGCCGGGCGCGGGGGTGGCTTCTCTCGCCGCCTGCCCCCGCAGTGCCCCGCGTGGAGCCGGCCCGCCAGTCAGCCAGCTCGCGGGGCCGAGCTGAGCTCCGGCGCTGCGCTCCTCCTCCTAGTTCCCGCGCGGCTCGGCGTCCCGGGAAAGCCACAGGAGGGCAGGTTGGCGGGTGCCGGCCACGGGAAGCAGCGTAGAGCGGTGAAGCCTCTTGGCCCTCTGGTTCGGGCGGAGGGCTGGGCTCCTCTGTAGACCCAGTACTGGGAGATTTCTTCCTACACCTCGGTGCTGCTTTGGGCCTCGTGCTATTGATTTGTGCCAACATCCTTTTAAACTGGTTCTTTTCTCTATTCCTCTTTAGATTCTTTCTCATTTTAAAATTACTGGCATGGATTCTTTTTCTCCCCTCCAGATTATATAAACATTAAACACACACACACACACACACACACACACACACACACACACACACACA